ACTGTTTCCGCCCGTTCCACACGGGCACCCCTCATCAGACAACCGTCAGTACCCGTCCTCGAAGTCATCTAGCCGGCGCCACCAGGGCGCGGCGGCGTGGGCCACGGCGCGCCGGTGCAGGTGCCGCGCGCGTGCCGCCAGCTGGTGTGACGGGCACCAGAAATCAACCGGTGACCGCTCGCCGGCCGGCGCCTCCAGCAGTGTGCAGATGGCCTGCGTCTGCGCCAGCAGCGAGCGGCAGCGGCGTCGGCAGGCGGCGTCCGAGGCCAGCCGGCTCGCCGCCCGGCCGAACAGCGCCTGTGACTCGGCGAGCTGCCGCTCCAGCGCGGCGCGGTCCGGTCCGCCCGCCGGCCGCGCCGCCAGCTCTGCCGTCTCCAGCGAGCTGCAACAGCGGCGGAGCTCGAGCCAGGCGGCCGCGACGTGCACCGGCGCCCGAAGCCGCGCGGCCGTGTGACAGCATAGTACAGGTGGTGGTTCAGTGTGGGTTGCACGCGGTGAAACTGCCAACCGCATCACGTTTTGTGACGTTTCAGTGTGGTAATCGGTCCTGCGCCCATTGTTGCAGCTCTCGCAATTCTCGGATATGTCCCCTAAAAGCAACGAACCGAACGGCAAATTTTACAGCTATGCCCATTCCAACCTCACACCTGTCAATCTGCCGCTGGTACTTCTCCATGTCTTCCTCCGTCAACTGGAAGAGCGGGCCCTGCGCGGCGCCGGCCCGCAGCCGGATTAGACAGTGGCGCCACCACCGCTGCACGGTCACCGCCGCCCGCTGGCGCTGCCTGTCCTCGCGCCACGCTGCCATCTGTCGGCGGACTCGGTACGCGCGCCAGTAGGTCTGGATCCGCGCGGCTGCCGTCCTCCGGCGGTCTCGGAGGTAGGCCGGGACTTTTTCTGAAACGGGTCGCGATGCATCGTAGTACATTGCTTATATTACATGCCAAAGCAGGATGCTATGCCTCCGACGTGGGGACAGCAAATATTCTTATCACGCTGTTCTGGCATTCTCTCTGGCATTGAATACGCCCGCTGTTGGGACAGGCCTGAGCCTAGTCCGCCAAAAGCGATCATACAATAGGCGCCCACAGCGCAACAGCGTCATCAGTTACGGCATCTCACGAGGGAGGGGGTTCAGCTGCTCACCAGCGCTGATGTCAGACACGTTCTGCAGCACCCTCTCAGTGTGCTGGCGCCGCTGCTGCTGCCGCTCCAGAGCGCCTCGAAACGCCGCCCATTCCTCGCGCGACTTGACCAGCTTTTGGCGGGCGGCACGGCCGCGTCGCCACCTGCAGCGCGACACAGCCAGTCGGTCGCCAGCGCAGCCTCACGAGCGGCTCTGGCGAGCTATCGCTTGCCGTCGGCCGCAACGCTTTCCCAAACGGGCCTCGGTCGGGCGATAGTCTGAGCGCCGAAGCAGCCGCCCCGTTCTCCAGAGTCGGAAACAACCCACCCAAGCTCACAAGCTTTCACACCCAGGCGGAGGAGCCAGCGTCGACACAGCTGTGGCGGCGGTGCACCGTGGCCGGCTCACCTGATCCGGCATTGGAGGCGCGCTATGGTGCCGGTGGCGCGCGCCAGTCGCCGCCGCAGCAGGTGGCCCCGGTACAGCGCCTGGATGGCGGTGGCGGCGCGCCGTCTGTGCTCGGACTCGGCTAGCGCCAGGTCGCCTGCGGGGGGAGGCACTGCCAACACTAGCCAGCGGGCGGGGAGACGTACGGAGTGGTACAATTGCAGGAGAGATGGAGTGGCATTTTTTTGCGGAACCATGAACGGAGCAGGTGTCGTTTATTGGTTGGCGAACTGGACAATATAAACACTTGACAAAATGCAACCTGCAACTAAATTAGGCATGTTAATTTGGGTGCAAGGGTTTAGTTTCCTGCAGAGAGCTATATGAACACAGCTGATGTAGTCCTCCTTAAAGCAGAGGCATTTCGCCGTTATATTCCGCAAGCGCATGCAAGCATTACCGGATTCAGATTGTTATGCCAGCATTCAACAAATTACTCGATACACACGGCGTTTGGCCACACCGTACCTGACGTCACGGCGTCACCGAACTTCTTGAGCAAGAGGTCAAAGCCATCGCCCTGCCACCTCTTCAGCACAGGTCGGATACCACGGTAGTTGTGGCAGAAAACGTCGAGTACATCTTCGTCGCGTTCGATCATTGACATCAGAAGACGCACAATCGAGCTGCCAACACAGTCTTTGTTGGAATACGTCGCGAGGTATGGAGGTGTCATTGCCGCTAGCAAGAGGTTGCCTTGCTCTTTATGGATATTAAATGGACGTCGATTGAGGTGCCTTTCTGGGTCTCACTTTGAATATATCTATGAGGACATGGAATATGGATACAGACCCCTACCCCAACATGCGCCAGCAGACTGATATTTTCAGGGGTATGGAGACCCACCATGCGCACTGTACGTCGCTGACTGTCGACAGCTTGTATACCAACTCGTCGAGCAGCTCCAGGAAGCGTTCCTGGTCACAAAGCGTGACCTTGATCTGCTCGCCCACATGCTTCACCATGCTGGTGATGATGCTGATGGCAGCTTTGCACACTCGGTTGTCTTCTGATGCCAGTAACAGCACCATCTCAGAGGATACCAGGCCTGAAGGCACCAGGTCAGAATAACGCCAGTTGAGGCCGGTAGTGGCAGAACATGTTAACAGGTCCACTCCATGGTAACAGGTCCACTCAATCAAATACAGAGGCATTCTTAAACCTTCAAGCACCAAATATGGAACCACATGTGGAATGCAGGGAGTATGGAATGCACAAATGGAAAGGTATGGGGCTGGAGTGTCGGAACATAGCATCTCAGTGTACTGTGACCTACATATGGGCCATCTTTCAAACAGTACCTTGAGGATCACCTAGACATTTATATGGTTCAACCTACTTCTCACATCAAGTGGAGTTTCAAATATGTAGTGCAAGCACAATACAAAATTTTGCTATTAAGCTTTCTTGGCATTCTGACTTTTGCTAGGCCTTCTGTGCTCCAAAATCCACTTGATAAATGTTTTTTTAAATGATGCATTATGTGAACCACATCACAATGAAGCATACCTCTCCAGTCCAACAATACAGCAGCCACTTACATTTAGCAACAGCTGCTTCCGGAGTCGATGAGATCAGCACATGTACTTGATCCATAGCGGCAAAAACCCCCTCTTTAGGTGTCCCATGGTCCGACTCGTCACCGAGGAGGTCAGAAGCGACCCTCAGTTTATCTTCCATTTGGCTGAATTATGTTGATAGTCTGTCTACTGCACAAATGAACTGGGACCATTGCTCTTTAAAACTTTAAGAAAAGGCACAATGAAATAGATATGCTGGACACAAATCCATCGCTCCATGCCCGCAAAGAATGTCACGGTTGTCGTTTGTTTAGATATGGTCAACCTGTTACCATGGTTATCGAAAATCAGGGACTATATTAAAGATGAATCATTCAGTGAAATAGCAATAAAACTACGGGGAAAACTACAGATAGAGATGAAAATGAGGATAGCCTCATATTTTGAGAAATGAAAGCCATGGCTGAGAAGTCATGATACTCTAAGTAAATAGGGCCAAGCTCTACGTTTCATTTCGGTTGTCAAATTCGAAAATACTCCACGATTCAAAGACAAACACCGCGCGAATGATGCGAATGTACTGTGACTGACATCAGCCCGACTTGGGCCATACAAATTGAGTTCCGAGGTGGGGCGGGACGCGGCGGGAGGGTGAATGTAACGGTGTTGTCCTATTAAAAGTAAAACTTCTTCGTAGAAGCGCGGGCGTTCGAGCACCAAAGTGCACAGATTATTATCCTTTGTTTCCATTGAGTAGCGAAATGTGACATGTGAATTTTAATGGCGGGAAGGCAGTTAGTTTGGTGCAGAATGTGGGGCCGGGCTGCGGGTGATTTTTGTCAAACCTGAAATCCGGAAGAAAGGGCTGATAATCTGATTGTACATCTAAGCTTTTTACTCCAAGGGTGGCTGGGCAATGAAACCCAATAAAATATGTTTTAAAGGATGCCAAAAATGTGTTTCTTTATAGTTTTGGGTTATTTTCTTATCAAAGATTGGAGGGATGGGCTGAAGCCAAATGGTAGTATACAATCTTTTGCACTTTTTGTTTTTAGATGTTGTGATCTTGCTATTTGTTGCAATTTTTTGCTACCATGGACATAATGGTTTGATTTTGTTGGTAGCTGTAAAGGACTTAGGCATAACATTTGATAAATAAGGATTACCACAACCAATGACCAATAATGGCATAAGAACAGTGCAATGGGAGGCAGTCATAGGCACAATACACAAAATTGCAATATCTTAATAGATATTGATTCTAAGAATATTTTTCTTAAAGTGCACACACTGAATAGCGGAACTGATGAGGTTAGATATAGATAACAGGGTGCATGAACAAATAACCAAAGTACTGTATTACCAAAATATTTTCAGCAGCCAGAATGATGTTGGAGGTGATAGTTTTTAAAGTGAAAGAATGTTAAGGTCAATAGTTCCACAGCTGTGGTCAAATGAATGTGCTACATCAGATCTGAGCTTATTCCCAGATGTGTCTATTTGCTTATCTTGTATGTTTTAGTAGTGTTATATTCATTATACAACTATATAGTATTTATGTTGTATTCATTGTATGACTAGTATGCATTGTAGAACTATCATAACACAACCTAATTTATGATCATACCATGTTCCCAGCATCAGTTTTTCAGACATCAGGTAATGGACATTGTCCAATTTATGGTCATGCATTTGCAGTAGCTGGAAAACCAAAATGGCAAGTCTCTCAACAGTGCCTATCACAGAGTTGTGCCCTTTCATTTGTGTCCTTTTTTCAGATGTCCAGCTCTCATGCCATTCCATGGCGTGCATGGCAGGGGCTTGGTGATGTCCTTTACCAATTTTCTAGTGCCAGTGGAGGTTACAATCTACTGGTCACCAATCTCTCCAAGGTGTTCTCCGAGACGATGGACGCCGCTGCATTCCTGCAGCGTTTTCAGACGTTGAACCCCTCGCTGGAGGCCACTGGTGAGCAGGTCCTGCCATATTTGGAAGAGGCATTCGGTCGCAGCGACAGTGGCGCCGCCTGGGACAGAGATGTTATTCGACTAACCAGCCACGGTCTAGGCGTGCCACTGTGCTGGGAGTTCCGGCTGCGCGTGCTGCCCGGCGGCCTGGCAGCGCGCCTGGTGCGCCCTCTGTTAGTGGCGCTAGGCCAGGCGCAGCAGCGCGAGCGCCGCCTGCTGGCCGAGGTGGCCGCTCGCGACCGCGAGCTGGACGACTACCGACGCTCCGGTGCGCACTTGATCCTGAAAGGGCTGCGCACGGAGCCACTGGACGCGGCGCGCTTCGATGCCGAGATGGCCGGCCTCGGCGCCCGTCCGGCCGACCTGGTAGACTCCAGTGCGTGGGAGGCCCTGCCGCCGGAGCAGGGCCCGGGGCCGCTCGCGCCGCCGCCGCCGGCCAGCGCCGAGCCAGGCAAGCGGGAGCGGCCGGCTGCGGAGGAGCCGCCGAAGGAGGACTGGACCCAGGGGATTGAGCGACGCCGCAGGGAGCTCGCGGAGCGCCTCCAAGAAGAGGAGAAAGAACTTCGGAGGAAAAGCAAGAAAAAGCGACTCAATCTGTGATAAATGTTGCGAACATTGCATGCCCGGATAGCGACGTTGTGTCCAGGCGCTGTCAGTGTGTGGGAGAAGGATGGAAATGTGCATATTTTTACCAAAGCAAGCTAGTCAAATTAGAAACGTGGTAATATACGACCCGTTTGTTGCTCCTAGCTGTTGCTAACGTAAATTATTTGTAACCGTATTTACGACTACTGGTTGAAAGTGTGCGTGCAGTGGTGGTCCTATGGATATTGTGTGTAAATCTGAGATTATGCCTAAGCCAACCAACGTAGCAGAAATATAGCAATTGAATGATCTTTTAGCCAATAAGTCGCAACTCTCGGAGCTTGCGCTAACGTGTGCACCCCATGTAAAGCCCGCTCCCTCCTGTTGGAGAGGCGTGACTGCACGTGATGCACTGGCAATGCGATCGACACCGCGGCGAAACGAATACAAAGTGTACAGCTCTTATATTGGAACTACAACCACCAACGGTATTATCAGGAAGTTATTTGTAACTTAGAATCTTGTTTCGCTACCTTAGGTTGACCTTACAATTATCACCGCGTGAATGAAAATGAATGTTGTGTATTATCTTCAAATGATACATAGCAATCGTCTTTTTATACTGACCAAAAATTATGTGTTCAGTTTAAAGTAGCGAACCAAAGTTTTGCAGTAACTAGTAACTAAGAAGTAGTAGGTATATATATATACTCCATTCACCAAGCAATGACTGCAAAGTGAGAACATTTTTGATTGACGGAAGATGTGGCGGGAACGGGCGCGTGCTGGGAAGCTTGCAATTTAGGGGTAGTCTCGAAAAGCCTGGTCCGGCGCAGCACCGACGCCGGCCGAGGCACCTGAGGGTCCTTGTACGGACAGTAAGGTTTGATTGACGCTGGCACTGGCAGGGATTCAATGCATCTAATACCGGTCGGCATGCCCTGGTGTTGTTAAAGCCCCGCATTAGCAGTCCAGACACCTCTCCGCCGCGGGTACTGGTACAGGCCGTACCAGTACCCGCGGCGGTACAGGTCAGGTACAGGTACAGGTGTGGTACGGGCTGTCCGTACCGTGTTTTCGCGATTTTGTATCCGTCCGTTGAATGTTCAATGCTCAAAGGTGTACTTGGCTCCCATGGTGACAGGACATGATGTGTGGAATTGGAGAATCTGAGACGGGTCTAGGTCACAGAACTACCCAAACGTAATATAGGACGGTCAGGAGGGTGGAGAGCTCAAGTGGAGTTTGAAGCAGGGTGCAGTACAGGGCCCGAGACGGTAGGGCAGAGATAAATGGAGGATCCCTATGCGACTTTGAGTTCTTGTTTCAGCATCCAAATAGCGTCGAAATAGCCGATGGTCACCTTTGATAGGCTGAAAAGGTAGGGCACTACAAGTCAGTTTACGCAAACGGCGATGGGTGTGAGTTATCAGACCGTTAGACGGTAGTACGATGAAGAATGCTGTGATATTTCCAGAGGCACCTCGCTTGAGACGATCAAGGGTTCAAAGTAAGTGTCCATTATCCAAGTAATCTATCCAGGTAAGCCCGCTGCCTTCGAGTACTGAAGAATGTCAAGGATGCTTGATACCAAAGCCAGTTGTCAGGTAAATGGAAGCATACTGAACTCAAACGAGAATCTTCTCGGCGGGGGCGGCGGGGGCGGGGGGGCTAATATCGCTGATGAATCTTAACACGGTATAGAATCTCTTAAGGATTTTGAGTGGCCCCGAAAGCAGTCGGACTATTCAGGAGAACATATGGTCCAACTGGTTAAACAACTCCAAGGTAGCAAGAAGCCCTTAGACGCCTAGGGCTTATGAACGGTCTTGAGTCTGCTGTAATTCAAGAGGCAGAAGCTCCACTGTTAGCGCATTTGGCTAGGCAACATCGACTGATCTCTAGGTTATACGGTCTTTTATTACGCGGGAGATCATATGTTGTACCACAACGAACGTGTGCCCTAAAACGACCAGCCCCTGTGGGCGGTCAGAGCTTCAGGATAGTCTCGCCTCCATAACGAACGATAGATCAGATGTAGAACAGTTTCAGAGGCAGCCGTATGTGCTCATAGTACAGCGTCAGGAGGGAAAACATTACGGTGACGTTCACAGAGCCCTAGCAGCGATCAAAGGATTCCAAGTGGATCCCTAGCTCCATAAGATGGTCATCCGGGAGGTGATCAGATGTTGTTCAGGCTGACCAATGCTTTCTAGAGGCCAAAGGAGTGGCTGAGAAGATTAATGATGAGAAAGGCTCCCGATAGTTAGTCATTGGTGTATAAGGGCGCGTCAACTGCAAAAGTGAGCTGCGAAGTGAGTTGCGCCCTCGAGCGTCAAAATAGCTGGGGTGTCTCGAGAGGCTACCAGCATATCTCACCATGAGATGCATACCCGTTTACACGTATATGTAATGTACGGATGAGCATTATTTTAACTATCTTCTTGGGAGGGCGGGGGGAATTTTTCCTTTTATGACTTTCAGTTTCAGCTGGATCTTTTAGTCACTTACAGGCGTAAAGGCTCACGCAAAGAAAATGTTCGGTTCACTCACCAACGCAGTACGAATGTGTGGTTTATCCACACCTCTTCACGCCTACATGGTTATATACAACTCTGACAAGTAACTAACTCGGAAAATAGCATTGTCGCCATAACTGGCGTGATGCCCGTGTCCGCAAAACACCTGCAGGTAACGTTGACATTTTTACCTCAAACAAACTGCACTGGTGGCCGTGTCGACCATTTTTGCACATGTTGTTGTGTGCAAGCGTCTAAATGTTGACATTGTTAGACACTCGTGAAGCTCGTGCGCCCCGCGAAAGAGTTTCATGTGCCGCCCGGCTCGAGCAAGATGCCCGCTTGAAGACCGCCGCCCGGACCTCGCTCGCATCCTTATACAGGTTTGCAATTGACAATTTTAAGCCCGGCTGCCCATTAGGAGGCTCAGAATATATGAGTCTGGCAAAAAAGGTGACTAATGACCGGATTACTCCTGGGTGGCTCAGCAATAAATCATCAATCTTTGTCGGGTATAAATCAAGTCGGCTGACGTGGGGCAGCATTTTAGCGATTGGCAGGCCCGATACGTGGCCATTGTCTGTGTGTGGTCGCCGCCCGAACGTCAGAATGCGGCCGCCGCGCGCTCCTCAGTCGCCGACGCCACAAAAACTCACGACGCTCGCCATGGGAGAGCTCTTACCAGCGGTGGCCCGCCTAAACGCTCGGCGCAGGACGCGCGCGCGTCGCTTCCGGGGCGGCCAGGCGGCGGCGGCGGTCACAACAGGCGGTCGCCGGACACATTTTACGCTGGTCGTTAAAGTTTTATGGCGGCGGATCAAAGCGGCCGCGGCGTGCGGCACTCGCGCCGCATCGGAGGCGGCGCCGCGCCGTCCCGCCGCCGGCCCGCCGGCCGCCGCTGGCACGGCAGGCGCGTCGTCGCCGGCGGGCCCGAGCGAGAACGGCCGATGGATGACGTCCGGAAGCCGGTGGCAGTGATGGGCTCCCGGTGGGGATGGGCTTCGCTAGGCGGCAGCTGGTGTTTTTGTGTTATTTTGATGTCGATGTGCATGCGTGCAGGCACTTACGTACAGACTACTTTTGCAGACTGCGGTGATTGTGACTTATGTTGCGTTCGTGAGCAAAAGATGGCATAAGAGCTAAATGTAGGAATAAATTGGTACAGATGCTTGTCGAACGTCTCAAAAGAACAATAAAATGAAGCCAAATCAATAAGGCCGCCAAAAAGGTGCAGTTTTCTGATCGGGGAGGCGATTTTAAATTTATGCACCGCTTTGAAATAATGACGTTTCGGAGCTCGTTCCTTGTAGAGGGGTAAAAACGGATGCTGATGTGGCAGCGAGAAATATATGCCACTTCTCACCTTGTTCACTTTTTAAGCTTAGCGTAACTATATACATTTTTAGTTGTAAGCCAATCTGGCTTGTACAGGCGGCCACCTAAGTAAGTATGGGTTCCGGTTTTGGTGTCCAGCGAAATTGATATAGCACTTACCGCCTGGCCTACTGGAACCCATAGGTGGGAATAAAACGTAGACGTTTTTTCATTGCTGCTGTAACAAGTTTGACGGACGTAAAACTGAAAACATAGCCACCAGTAGATGGACAGTCGAAGTAACTGCACACAAGGTGCACAGAGAAGTGACAAAATGCGAAAAATTGTGCTGCAGCGAAACGGCATGTGCCTCGTATACGCTTTTACTGCTGGTTGCAGTTGATGTGCGATGCACAAATAAGATTGGACTGATGTCAGCACCAGTTCCAGGCATCCCACTGCATCCCTCTAGCGAACCCGCTATTCCGAATACGCGGGGGAGGCAGCAAGAGCTTTTCCCAAATTGCGATATAATTTCCGACTGGTGCTACCAATGTGCCGGGTAGGTTTTCCAGCTTTCTGGTCAGCCCACGACCAACTGAGAAGTTAAGGTGCCCACTTCACCCCCTCCCCCCCCCCCCCACCCCACCCCCGGAATTTGTGAAGAACTTTCGTGCCGTGCCAGGTGTGTCACAAAATGTCCCGTGACGGAAAGGCAGTCTATTTGAAAAATCCTGTTTGCTCAGGTCACCTAGTTATGGCGTTATCAGTAAAGGCCTGTACGCGATTCTTGCCACCACATGTGGAAAATCACAGTATTCTTGTTGCAGCCTGTTTTGGGGGCAATTCCGTCGACTGGTGTGACTTTCTGCCAGTCAGGGTCAGTCACAGCATGTGAGGTCACACCAGGTCACCTCAGGGGCTATGCGAGGTGAGCTTACTACTATCAAACCAAAAT